AGATTTATTTTACTTAATGTGTATGAAGGTTTTTCCTACATGCATATATGTGTGCCATGTGCATGTCTGTTGGTGCTCTCAGAACTGAGGTTACAGAGGATTGTGAGCCACCACGAGGGTGCTGGGAATTGAACCCAGGTCCCCTGCAAGAGCAACAAGTGCTCTTAACCTCAGAGCCATCATCCAGCCCCTTTTTCGTTTTGCAGTGTAACTTAAATACAATAAAATACTCACATCTTCAGGCCACAGCTCAATGAATTTTACCGCATCATTATAGACCAGTTTTGCCTAGTCTTTAACTCTTTACAGGTGAACTCATACCATGTGCACTTTTTTCTTTCTTTCTTTTTTTTTTTTTTTTAACTCGGGGTCTCTTGCAGCCCATGTTGATCTCAAAACTTGTTATGTATGCGAGGATGGAATTACAGGTGTGTCCCAGCATGCCTGGTTTGTGCAGTACTGGGAATCAAACCCAGGGCTACAAGTATGCTAGGCAAACACTGTACCAACCGGGCTATCTGCTCAGCCCAGATATGTGTTGGCTTGCATCTGATTTCCTTCCTCACTGTGTGCAGTTCACCTGTGTTATGTGTTATCATTTGCTCTTCCACACATCTCTGAGGCATCCCGCTGGGTGACGGTGCAGTTCCGAGGTCCCTTGAAGTGGGTGTGATTGATAACGTTGCGATCATCTTATTTTGTAGACGCAGCAATCTGGGCCCTAAGTTGCTCTCTGACCTTGTAGCTTAAAGTCACAGACTGATACTGAGTCTGAAGAATAACTTGAACCCTGGGTCCACCGACTCTGGAAGCAGCTCCCTTCCCTGTTTGCAGTTCTGGGGACAAGAGAAATGAAATCTGGCGCCTGTGATCGTGCTTTTGCCTCCTTAAGTAAAACCAGAAGAAAGAGGTAGATCCAGAGCAGTGATGGCACACACCTTTAATTCTAGCACTCAGAAGGCAGAGGCAAGTGAACCTCTGAGTTCAAGGTCTACAGCGCGAGTTCAGAACAGCCAGGGCTACACAGAGAAACCCTGCCTCAAGAAACAAACAAACAAAAAAACAGAGAGAAAGAGAGAGACAGAGACAGAGAAAGAGATCCAGCTCCAGGAAGAGAAAACAACACTAGGTTTGGCGATTGCCAATATTTATTTTTGTTGCACTACAAGCTGATAGCACAGCTACAGCCGTCACTCACAGCCCTGTACCTTGAGACCCACGCTTTCCCAACATTTCACAACAAGTACAAACAGCCTCCACAAGGAAGGGATGCCCTTGCCCACTAATCAGCAGTAACTCACAGGCAGCCCCTTGCTCTGGCTCCCCAGAGGGTAGTTTCACAGATGAGCCCATCTGGGACTCCTCCAAAAAGCATTGCAGGCCCTCAGGCCAGATTTCTCTGTTACCCAAGCATCACCCATCAAAGAGTGGAGCCCCAGAGCTGACCTGACCTCAGGAACGGGCCAAGGTGTTTGCCCTGTTCCCAGCTCTCTGAACCTGCAGGCCTCGGGCGGGACCATCTGCAAGGCAGCCAGGGGCAGCAGGAGCTTTGCTGACCTCCCTGCCACCTCACCCCCTGAACTCAGGTAGCATTCCTGTCAGCCCAGCCAGACATGATTAAATGCTTGGCTACGTGCAGGGGTGGGAGACCTGGGGGGGGTGGGGGGAAGGCTCAGAGCCAACTCCCTGAGGCACCCAGGGCACCCTTTGGTCTGTTGATCATTAACAGGAGCCACCTCACAGCAGGCAGAAAGGGGAAAGTCCAAGGGGATGGCCTGCTCCCTCCTCCCAGCACCCTCCTCCAAACATGCCAATCCAGAGCTTCATGGGCCATGAGCTCATGACCCTGAGGGAAGGTGTGTGTAGAGTCATCCAATCCAGCCGGTGCCTCTCAGCTTCTGCAGATCACCAGCAAGGGAGAGGTAGACAGGAACTGACCCTGGTAGACCTGTAGTTACTGTGTGCCAGGGACCGTGCCCAGTGGTGGCTTCAGTGTGCCAGCCTATGATATGCCATAGGACAGTGCTAAAACTATGTTGCTAACAGGCCTGGGTTCAGGTCCTGAGACTTTGTCACCACAGGGCAAAGTCATGGGCGCCCCTGTGTCTTACTTCTTCCACGTAAAGTGGGGGGGTGCTGTGTGTGCTGGTCAGTTCGTCCACTTGGTACAACCTAGAACCAAATGGGAGGGGAGTCGCAGCAAGGGATTGTCCAGATGGTTTGGTCTGTGGGCATGTCTATGAGTGTGTGCGTGCACTCCTTCCTCTCTGCTCCCCACTGCTGCGGTGATGTGACTAAACTCTTTCTGTCTTGACTTCCCTGCTGTGACGGATTATAACCTGGAGCTGATGGCTAACACAAACCCTTTCTCCCTAATTTGCCGTTTTGCCCAGGCATCTTATCGCAGCAACAAAAATGAAGCTAGGACACCGTGGAACTTCCTTCAAGGTATCAGCATTACCGTCTGAGGCTAAGGCCTTAAAATGCAGCCTGGTCTCCATGAGTGCTGCGGAGTGCTCCCTTAATCGCCCCAATAACCCTTTGAGACAGGTAGTCTGGCCTGTTGCAATGGCTCAGTGGGTAAAAGGGCTTGCCATCAAGCCTGATGAGTTGAATTCAATTGGAAGGACCCACATGGAGGAAGGAAAGAACCAGCTCCCACAAGTTGTCCTGGACATCCACAGACACACTGTAACACTCATGCACACATATACCTAAAAAAAAAAAGAAAGAAAGAAAAAAGAAAAAGAAAAGAAAAAAAGCTCTTTCCTTCTTGGTGCCATGACTCCTTCTTCTGCTCTCTCTCTCTTTCACACACACACATACACACATACCGATCTCCTGAAGTGCCAGGGATTTGTAATCCAATTATTGACAAAACTCAGAGTAAACCAGCTCCCTGGGGTCCAGCGGGCCCATTACCTTCCTGATGTTGAGGCCTCAAGACCAGGAGAGGTTAACCTGGTCTACATAGTGAGTTACAGGTTAGCTAAAGCTACACAGTGAGACATTGTCTTAAATAGAGGAGGAGAAAGAAAAGGAAGAAAGAAAGGAAGAAAGGAAGAAAGAAAGAAAGAAAGAAAGAAAGAAAGAAAGAAAGAAAGAAAG